TTATGCCCCCCCCCCGGGGGACCTGGAACACAATGAAGAGAGAGGGGAGGGGGCCAGTAGTGGAAAAGCAGGAGGAGGAGGAAAAGGATGAGAAGGAGGAGGAAGAGGAGGAGCGGACCTGGAGGCGCAGTGCTTGAGCAAGCGCCGAAACCACACTGAGGATGCCCCCGCCAGCAAGAGCCTCCAGAATCACTGTGCCCGCGGAAGAATCGGACAGGATTCTGGCAGGAAAAGCAAGTTCTCTCCTGGAGGGCTACAGGAAACTCCGCCAGAAAATGCTCGAATGACAAAAAAATTGGAGGACGGAGGCAACGGGCATTGCGACAAATGGGTGAATGTACGTATGACCTGCAATGTTAGGCAGCCGTGGCGCTCGGGCCCAATGCGAGACCAGCCGCAGAGTGTGGGCGAGGAGCTGCAGACTGCGTGAGGGAGGCATCGACAAGAGAGGGGGCCCAAGATGCGGGGGAGAGGGGGCGCGGAAGGGGGAAAGCACCACGGGACGAACAGTCCGGTGCGCCTCCTGCCGCCCGCTTCGCCCAGCCACTGCGTGTTCTCCCTGTCCTCCCCGCTGGAGCTGCACCTCCTGCTGCTCCTTCTCTCCTTCCTCCGCCGCTCCCCCGTGGCCCCGCTGCGACCTCTGCGTGGGGCCCAGTGCTATGCCTCCGACGACCGGCGCCCAGTCGGGGTCCGCGTTCTTCTTCAGGAAGAGCGCCCAGGCTGCCGCCACAAACACGACACAGACGAGCGCGGAGGGATCGAACAGGATGGCAGCGGTGAGGGTCACCACCTCGGCAACGGGCGCGCCGCTGCCTCCCGTGGCCTGGCTTCTCCGCGGGCCCCCGTGGCCGATGCCGCGAGCGCGGAGGGGGGGGAGCTCTTCGCCTGCGGGTCGAGGGCGCCGAGGATGGAGCGGGCCTCGGCGTTACTGGGCTCGGGTCGCGAGCCAACACCCTCAGCAGCTGAAGGCCTGCAGCCAGACGGCACCGAGATCTGACGTCCAGGATCTCACGTCTCTAATTGTTCGGCGATGGCACAGGTTCTCCGATGGATGGGGGAGGAGGGGGGGAGGTGCCAGTCGATAACCGAACCTTTTGAGAGGAGGGGGGGAGGTGCCAGTCGATAACCTAACCTTTTGAGAGGAGGGGGGGGGGGACAGAAGGAAACAAGAAGAGGCGCCATGAAATCTGGGGAGATATCATGGCCCCCGCCATGATATCCACCCCCCCCTAGTCATCACCCCCCTCTTTGCCGCCCCCGCATTATCGGGGGACCCTCAAAAAAGAGAGTCTCCAGCTCTGCCCTCGCCTTCCAGGAGGAGCCGAGGCAGATAGTCCCGCCTGTTCCTGCAGGAGGCTCTCCTTCCTGGCACCTCTGGTGGGCCAGGCCTGCCCCACTCCCCCCGCCACAAGCAAGCGTGGCAACGCGCAGTAGCTTCGTGCCGTGACGACTGGAGCGCTGGCTTCTGATACTGCGTGGATAGCTCAACCTTGAACGATCGAAGGGCTTTCCGATAGCGCGGATCGTTGAACGTCGGCAAGTTCGGGGCCACTGGCAACATGCAGCCTTGAACGCCCACGCCGGGATCGCCGCTTTGTCGACCCGGCGCGAACTTGCCGCAAGCCTGTGCAAGAGCAGCGGACCGCGGTGCGCCAGGCTCCAAGTGATCGATTACCCTCGAGACGCAATCCTGCCACGGCAAACGGGAACCTCACCCCGCAACCAAAGATTACTTAACTCTCTGGGAGGGCTGCTGCTCAGTCCGCCTGACCCTCTAGGACCCGCCAGAATGCCGACAATACGTCGGGACAGACACATCGAAATGCCTGTTGGATGCCTGGTATAAAAAGAGGTTTGGCGATCCTGGTCTCAAGCAGGCCCAAGGGGAACCTCGGCTGGAGGTGCGCCGACTTCGAGGAGGGCTCTGACGTGATGTTGCTCCCTGCTGTCCGCTGCGGCCGCCTAGTGTTTGGGATGTCCCGCCCGAGATGATCCTGGTGGAGGCGCTCGGCTCCGTGTGCCTCGGAAGCGCCCAAGGCGTGCTTTTATAGTTTCCATCTTTCGTTCAACAACTCGTCTTTCAATTGTTTCCGGCTGCCGTTTTTAGTAGTTTCCAGGTCTCTGTGGCGATGCGTTTATTGATCGTTTCCGACGCCAGCCCGAGGGAACGTTCGTTGTTTCATCATTCCGAGGTTTGCCTCGCAACAAGGGCTCTTTTGTGTCCAGTATTGTTTCGTCTGGGCGTGCATTGGTAATCACTACGCTGAAATCAGGCACCAGCAAGCAGCAGCAACAAGCAGCAGGTAGCAGCGCGCAGCAGGGAAGGGCAGACACGATCAAGCAAGGAGTTAGCTGCCCCCTGGAGATCGCATCAGAGCCAGAGACATCGTCGCCGGTGTCATAACGGAGGCGTCGGCGTCGCAGCGGCGGCCTCAGCAGCGGCAGCGACATCCTCAATGCCTCAATGTTTCCGCCCCCGTGTCCCTTCCTTCGATCCGTCCTCCTCCTCCCCCGCCGTAGGGGCTGCCCGATATGCATGCTGCAGGTAAGGAAGATCGACCCCAAAGGGGGCACCATCGAAGACAAAGAAGGCGGGTATCGAGGGTTTGAGATACACGTGCTGGCTGGCACCCTAGCAGATAAGAGCGAGCAGTTTTACCATGATTGTTGCTGCCGTTGGCCGTGGTGGTGCTGCTGTTTAATGCAACTGCCCCTTCGCAGAGAGGGAGAGAGCGAGAAAGGGAGAGAGATAACAAAGAGAGAGAGAGAGAGACGGGAGGGGGGAGAAGCGAGGGGGAGGATGAAACGACGGGGCAACGGCGCTGTGCGGACAACCCCACATGGCCCGAACGGTTTTTTGAACCCAAGAGCGCACAACCGAATCCAGAGGTGAAGAGCAGGGAACGGAACGGAACGGACGGTACGAAAGGGAGTGCGCGGCACGAACAAATCAAACTAAAAAGGCCCAGTCAACACCGACAAAACGTAACTTCGGGAAGCGGCCGCTTTGGCATGTTCCTTGCCGCGTATCCTCTCATGCAAAGATGACGCACGCTGCTCGTAGGAGGGGAACGCGTCCGAACTCAAATGTGAGGCCCCCACGACGGTCGGAGCGTCTGGAGCAGGATGGGCGACGGGGAGGTCAAGCCTATCGAGCGGCACGTCGCGGTCGATGTTTGCCCGAACCCCGGGGTTCGGGCAATTCCCCTTCCTGCGCTCAGACAAAATCTCTAAACCTTTCCGTGACGGAGCCTCGCACGGTCGGCCGAGCTTTTAACCACCCCCGGGGACCACGCAAAGGACCTGCTCCTTGGACGAAGGCCGACACGACTCCAATAGAACGCCAGGTCGCCGACCAAGTCCAGCCCCATGGGATCACGGAGCTGACCACGGAGGAAAGGCGGCAGTCCTCTGCAACAATGCATCGGGACGGTGTCGAGGCTGCCTTTTGCAACTAGGAGACAAAGCCCACGCTGAAGCCCCAGCTCGCTCTTTCTCCAACCATGCCGCGACACTTGTCGCCGTGATCCTGCTGCTGCGGTGAGGTACGGGACCTTGCCCACCGAACATCATTGTCAAAACGCGGGAACACTTTTGCTGCGAACTTGATGCAATATCCTGCTCGCCCTCCCGCGAGACATAACTCTTGCATGCACTCTGGCGGAGGAGCAGGGTGCATGCGCAGACCATATTTTGCGCAGCGGTCGGCAGCAGCATTCGCAACAGCAGAAACCCTGTCTGTGCCCTCGAGGCTCTGAACTCGGCCTCGTCTCGGTGGGCTTTGACGTGTCGTAAATCATAAACAAATGCCCTCCTTCCTGGCTGATGCGCGAAAGCGCGCGCCCCAGCAAATTTGCTGGAGAGGGAAAGCTGAGCAGTCACGTCTTTTTGGCGCAATCTGATGGCAAACAGACAATCAACTCCGAGCTCAGTCGGGCGCGTCGCTATCTGGCCGCAAATCCGCCGACCCTGTCGGCGTGTGTGAGGGGCTTTTCCGTTCGAGCCGTCATCTCCGTCATTCTTTGTACTCGTCGTCTCTGTCCTTCCCTTTCCCTGGGAGACCTCTTCCCCTGGGCTCCAGCCAAGCCGACCTTGAGCAACCTCGTAATTGAGTCGAAGGGAAGCCCCTTCCCTTTGATCCCTCCCCCGCCGGGAGGGGGGGGGGGTAGCGACCCCCCCCCCGGGTCAGATACGACGCCCCCCCCTGGGACTCCTCTTCCCCTGGGCTCCAGCCAAGCCGACCTTGAGCAACCTCGTAATTGAGTCGAAGGGAAGCCCCTTCCCTTTGATCCCTCCCCCGCCGGGAGGGGGGGGGGGTAGCGACCCCCCCCCCGGGTCAGATACGACGCCCCCCCCTGGGACTCCTCTTCCCCTGGGCTCCAGCCAAGCCGACCTTGAGCAACCTCGTAATTGAGTCGAAGGGAAGCCCCTTCCCTTTGATCCCTCCCCCGCCGGGAGGGGGGGGGGGGTAGCGACCCCCCCCCCGGGTCAGATACGACGCCCCCCCCTGGGACTCCTCTTCCCCTGGGCTCCAGCCAAGCCGACCTTGAGCAACCTCGTAATTGAGTCGAAGGGAAGCCCCTTCCCTTTGATCCCTCCCCCGCCGGGAGGGGGGGGGGGGGTAGCGACCCCCCCCCCGGGTCAGATACGACGCCCCCCCCTGGGACTCCTCTTCCCCTGGGCTCCAGCCAAGCCGACCTTGAGCAACCTCGTAATTGAGTCGAAGGGAAGCCCCTTCCCTTTCATTCCTCCCCCGCCGGGAGGGGGGGGGGGTAGCGGGGGGGGGTAGCGACCCCCCCCCCGAGTCAGATACGACGCCCCCCCCCCGTACCGACCTTGAGCAACGTCGTCATTGAGTCGAAGGGAAGCCCCTTCCCTTTCCCTTCCCCGACGGGGGGGGGAGAGGAGGTCCCGGGGGGGGTCCCGGGGGAGTCCCGGGGAAGTCCCGGGTCAGATACGACACCTCCCTCCCCCACCTTCTCGTCCTTCTCCCCGTTCCCCCAAACCATCCCACAGCCCGTGCCTCTTGCTGCGCATTGCGAACAGGGTCGGCGGCACCGGCCGTCAGGCCTTCGCAATAGTTATGCCGCAGTGCCCAGCCATGGCTGGCGTCTGAAGCAGAACCCCTCGGGCGGTGCCTGAACGACCGCCACGGGGTCCACGCCAATATCGAGGCACAGGACAACAACCCAGGCGCGCGCTGCAAAGGACGGATCCAAGGTCTCGTGCTAGACCCGTCCGAGGCGAGGCGCAGCGGGGCCTGGGAGGTCAAATTGGCGATAGTCTCTGGTTTCATGTCGAGCTCGTCTCCTTGCCCGTCGTAGATAAGCACCTCCGACGACATGGGCGGGCAAGGAAGCGAGCTGTCTTCGCAAACGTGCACTCCTCAGGTGGAAATAAGGGCATCAGGATTCTCGCGCGCAGAGTGGAGGAAGGAATCTGTCACCTCCGACGCCGCGCGCGCCTCGACTACATGCTGGAGGGAACATGGGTCGAGCCGGTGGTGGACTGTGCCAATGGCTCCACACGCGCGCGCACCATCACACAAGTACTCCGCGCGCACCGCACGATCATTCGTCCACAGTCCATTGCATCCACAGCTCTTGATTATATAATTTTGGAAGTGGGTGAGCTGACGAGGTTTTGGCCCAGCGGCGTCCCGAATGGAGCCGAGCGTGGCCCTGAACCCTTGCGGAAAACCGGACGCTCGAACAATTGCAAACTCCCGCTCTCTCTACAGTCCAGCTTCCAGCTGATCGTGCAGAGGGGCAGGCGGTGTAAAAGACAGGTCAACTAGGTAATCGAACTCTGTACACCGACACTTCTTCCGGTCCTCCATCAGAACTTGCATTGGCGAGCGGATGCTGGTGTATACGGGACCCTGGTGTATACATGTTTCGTTGCTTCCCCGGGACATCGGGGAAACAAGTGTACAGCACACCACCCCAGCGTCGTACCCCCACCCCCAAGAAATCCTGGGATTGAAAAGCAGCCCGCCACTGGTAATGTATACGTTCCAGTTTCCGATCAACCTTCAAACCGTTGAGGTCGATTCAAGACAGGGGGCCATCTGCTTGCAATTCTGCTCTCGTCATGCTGAACACTGCTCGAGAGATCGGCCCTTTTGGGCTTGCTCCAAGAGGGACACTCAAGAGGCTTCGAAAACTCCCAGATATTCGGCAGCTCGGCGCCTGAGACAAGAGACAAGTCGGGACGCCGCGTAGCGGTCCATATCATTCTACAGCATTGCAACGCGGGAGCAACAACCATCCTGGCACTACCGCCCCCTAGCACAGCAATCTTAGCCGTGAGCGAAACGCCACCGTGGGAGGGCCCTTCACTGCGGGCCATCACCCTCCCGGGGCCCAGGCAGGCACTCCGAGGCCGTGCGACCCAAGACCTCCAACCCAAAGCTACAAGCGGGGGCCACACCTTGTTTGGCAATTTGCTTGAAAAGGGGGTCTCCTTGGGTCCCTTGAAACGCCTTCGGGGAGCTCGAACCTTGCGGACGCGATATTTTTCCATCTGCGAACAAAGAGCGGCACTTCTGTTTCAGTCGAGCTCGCTGTGCATACCGCCGGGCGCCCGCAGGCTCATCAACCCCGAGATACGCGACACTCGTTTTAAAGACAGGCTGTGGTCGCTGTTAGGGCAGCACATACATCCCGAGCAAATTCCCTGGACGAGGACAATTTCGATAATTTGCTGGGGTTCATCTCAGTATTCAATTTCGCACCTATTACTTTGAACTGATTCATTGCTGCCGTTGCCACAGACTTCGCGAAACCATAATCACTGGCCGACACATGCATCCCACTGTCGCCGATGTCATTCTGGAAATCAGCAAACGGCGCCCCCTGCAGGAAGGAACCGAACGCATCAACAGCATTGACCTTGATCGCCAGGTCGCTGTACCCGTCGTTCGCTTGGGGCCCACGAGTAGCCACCATTGCATACTGCGAATGGTGCCGTCCAAACCTGATGATTCTTCGGCAAGTCCACATGTTGACGACCAACTTGAGCCAACATGTTGGAGCACCACATGCCTTTCGAACTTGCGTCTCAATTCCAACTGCGGAACCGATTCGTAATATGTGATCCAGCCTGCGACTATCAGCACACCATAGTTGTGAGCGACTTGGTTGCTCTCAGAGCTGCAAGTGCGTCATGAATCTGCGCAACCATTGGCTTCCCGGCTCGCTGCCAGGTGCGATAGACTGCTGCATATAATATAACCAGACGATTGCCACCAGACGGCTTGCCAAACATTGGCACCTGGATCCAGCAAGGCTGTTTCGGCAACATACCAATGGCCTCATACGCCGCCAACAATAGTGCCAACGTGTCAAGGCCGTCGTCGTCCAGCAGCAGCATGTGCCGTGGGTAGAACTTCTCGTAGCTGGTAGCAGCGCCTGCGGGGACGGATCGAGTTGCACGTCGTAGGTCCTCTGGTTCCAGCTTGGGGTATGTCGAGCGATCAGGGACCCATGCTGGTTGCGCCACGTCGGATGCTCGCCATAGCCGTCGATGCATCTCAACCTCTTGCACCACAATAGCGACTGGGTCACCTGACTGAATACCGATTGGGACTCACGTTGGGGGCGATCCGCTGGAACGCACGACGGCTAAAGTGAGCCTCACTTCGACACACTCCTCACGCACTTCGTGCCTCCTGGACTCCCAGGGGCCCTCAGCTGACCCCTTAGACGGATCGGGGGACCTTTGGTTCGGCACAACCTTCACGTACTTCGTGGCTCTTGGACCTTCTGAGGCCTTCCGTTGGCTCCAGAGACCGCCTGCCCCCCGCGGGACGCCCAGATGGCCCGGAGAAAAACTGCAACGAGTGGTACCGACCCTCGTCGAAGTCATACCCCTAACACCCACTGCGTGCAACATCTGCGTGCGTGTCTCCCTCTGGGGTCCCGCCGTGCATCATGCCCCGCGGGCTCCATGACTACGGTTCGCTGCCGCCTCTCCTGTGAGAGAACACAGATCACCAAGGTAGGGCAGGGGGCTGCTGCTGGCGAAGGCCAGGACAAGGGCAACGTAAAGGTGTGAAGGTCGCAACACTGAGATTGATAGGGGTGACAGGGGAAGGGAGGGCGGGGGAACGGAGATGGAGTAAAAGGGGGGGCAGGGGGGAGGAGAGTGGAGCGGGGTAAAAGAGAGGGGAGGGGAGGGCGAGGCGCATGTTGCACATCGCATCTGACCGCATGCGTTGCACCACAGGTCGAGCTCGGGGGTCGCACGCACCCCTGCTGATGGCGGAAAGAGGGCCCACGCTGGGAGAGGTGCCTCTGCGGAGCGAGAGCGGTGCAACATAATCATGCGATCCTGGGCTGGCTGCTCCCCGGCGGTCGGGGCCGAATCCGTGCCTGCATCTGCGGGAAGGGTGCAGGGAGGCTGGAAGCACACACACGTCACATGGCTGGACTCACATCTGGAATATCCGGAGGATCACACACACACACACACACACGTCACATGGCTGGACTCACATCTGGAGGCTGGAATCACACACACACGTCACATGGCTGGACTCGCATCTAGGAACATCTGGACGGTCACATCGCTGGACACGCGTGCGGAGGCTCAGCATGCCGGCCGCCAAAACAAAAAGGGGCCGAGCGTCGGAAAGACAAACTTGGCCACCATGTGCGCCAACTCTGACCGCCTGCTGAGGTGACCAGCCTCCTTGTACAGGCTGGGGGGAGGATGCGGGGACGGGAGAGTGAGCTGTATACGGGGGGAGAGTTCTGAGCGACCAAGGCCCGCACGAACAGGACAGCGTAGTTCGTCTTGAAGCGGCTCAGGTTGGCTGTGAGCCTGGTGCGACTTCTTTTTTGGGGGGCCTCTTCGCAAGTGTCATTCCTCTCCCGACCCACTGGAAGCAGGAGAAAGAAGAGGAGGAAGAGGATGAGAGGGAGGAGGAGGAGGAGGACAAGCTAGGTGCGCTCGCGTCATATCCGACGTCCTACCCCTCCCTCCCATCCCTTACCATGGCGCTGATTTTCTCTATCCGCGGACGCGTGTCGTAGCGGACCTGTGGCTCCGCACGCGCGTGCGTAGTGGGTGGTGGTGCGCGTGCGTGCGTGCGTGCGTGTGTGCGTGGTTGTGGTGGTGGTGGTGGTGGTGGTGGTGCTGGTGGTGGTGGTGGTGTGTGGTGGTGGTGGTGGTGGTGGTGGTGGTGGTGGTGGTGGTGGTGGTGTGTGTGTGTGTGTGTGCGTGTGTGCGCGCGTGTGCTGTGGCATGGCACGGGAAATGACGCCAGCGCTGCAGCGGGAGCACGAGTCGAAACGGGCGGAAGCGCGGAAATGAGGCCAGCGCTGCAGCGGGAGCACGATTCGGAACGAGCGGAAGCACGGAAATGAGGCCAACGCTGCAGCGGGAGCACGATTCGGAACGAGCGGGGCCCGAAAATGAGGCCGGCGCCTCAGCGAGAGCAGCATTTTGAAAAAAAACTGCACGCGAAAACCCAACTCCCGGGAATCCTGTGTGCAAAAAAACAGGACGCGGGGGGGGGGTCGGCTACTCCCAGCACGCCATCAGGGGAAGAGGGAGAGTAGTATTCATATTGAGTAATTGTATAGGAGGATGCGGCGTGCCGTGACGTCTCCACAGCCGCAAGCTACTAGGAAGCCTCGAGGACATAAAGGAGTGCTAAGCACTGGGGATGGCGGCCAACTCGAATTGTTTTGCGAGAGTGGTAGCCCGAAGTCGGCTAGCCTCCCAAGTGACGGGCCCATCGCATTGGGCCATCAGCACTGGAGGAAGTCCAGGACGCCCAGCTGGCCGTCATTCGCGCAGGCGTCAAACGTGAGGTGCGCAGGACACCAGGCGGCCGAAGGCCAGGGCCACGCGCCGCCTCGCGTCGAAGGGCCATCACCAGATGTCGGCTCACTGGCTCGCCGAGCTGGCGAGGTCCTGGCCCCAGACCTCAACCTCGTGCGCGAACGCCGCCGAGCCCGTGACCAGGAGAGGTGCTTGTCGGGCTAGGGAGCCCACAAAGGACGTACGCGCACAGCTGTGTACAGGAACACGGCCCCTCGGTCCGCGAGACCGGCCGCGTGATACGAACATTTGCGCAATGCGTACTCTCGAAACCAGCATGGATTCATGTACATGTACGTCCTTCTTGCGCTCCTGAAGGGCGTGAGCCGCAGCGCCTGCAGGGAGTCGGGCCGGACGAAAGGGGGGGATTGGGAAAGGGGGGGTTACGAAATTTGCTGCATGCAGCTGGTTTCGGCCTCACCGAGGGGCCCATTCCTCGATACATGAGCCGCCTCCGGCGCCGGGAGGCGCCGGGGAACTCAGCTACGTGAGCTGATTCTCAAACCCCCCCTTTGCTATCCCCCCCTTTCGCCCGACCCGAGGGAGGCCCACGGCGCGCCTCTCGCCTCACCGTCAGGGCATGCTCCTGGCAGGATGCCGCACGGGGGCGCGCGCGCCGGGAGGCCGCCCTCGCCTATCTGGACGAGAGGGAGAGAGAGAGAGAGAGAGAGAGAGAGAACAAAAAAAAAAAAAAAGCCCAAGCACATCGCGTGAGCTCGGGGATCGACGCGTCGAAACTCGAGCCATCCGTGTACGCGACGGCCGTCCTCCCGATGACAGGCGCGCACCTTGTGCCGCACCGTGTCGCCCAAGAAATGGCGCGCACCGTGTGCCGGCGGCGGCGGCACCTGGTACGGGATGATCGGCATGCCGATGACGAGGTCGACGCGGTCGTCGTCGGCGTCGCCCGGGCCCAAGTGACACTGGACTTGCATCCGCTGCTTGGCTGATCGGACGTCGGGGCAAGGGGGGCCGTCGTCGCCGCCGCCGCCAATGAAGGCGACGCCGCGGCGGCGCCGTCGGCGCAGAACGAGCAGGCGGGGCTGTGGATATAGCCCATCTCGCGCCGCCCCAGGCGGCGCCTTCCCAAGCCCGAGGCCGCCACGGTGCCAGTGGCAAACGTCACCCGCGGGAGCGCCAGGAGGATGAGGAGGAGAAGGAGGAGGAGGAGGACGAGGAAGAGAAGAGCAGGAGGAGCACGAGAAGGAGAAGGAGGTGGTGGTAGTAGGAAATGAGGATGCGGTAGGTTTGCGTCGCGACGACTTGCGCGTTGATTTCTGATTCGGCGTTGATTTGGCGTAGATTGTTAGCCTTGAATGATCGCGGCTTTTTTGTAGCGCGGAGTAGCGCGGATCGCTCAATCTCGAACGCCCAAGCTGGTGTCGATGCCAATGAATCCGACACGAACCTACCGTAACCGGAAAAGGAAGAAAATGGCGAGGGATCAGCTCAGCCTGGCCTCGGCTCACGCTACCCCCCCCCCACACACACACACACACACACGGGCACGCCCACTCGGATGAGTTTGGTGGGACCAAAGACTAGATGTGCGCCGTGGTGCTGGAACCCACCACGGAATGCATCCATGTACGCAGTACATTGACGGTGGCGTCGTCTCACGCAACCGCACCACGCGGGAGAAGCTTAAGGCTCCGCTACTCGTTAGGAACGGAGATGTCAACGACAATAACTGAAATCAACGGGTTCCACTCCTCCGCTTCGCTTAGCTGTATCCGACCCAAGTTTCTCATCCAATGCGGCCGCGCGATCCTGCCTTGGTGCGGGGGGAGGCGAACAAGAGCAGAACGATGCTCTTCTCGTGTACGCGTGCGGCATACCTGTGCCTGGCTGCTGGGCGGCCAGCTGCGCCTGACTGCAACCGAGACCTTCAGCTTTGCTGGCGCCCCCGCACGGCGGCGGTCAACATAATTACTTTGAGCGCGTTCCGCCTCAGTCCAACCGACTGCAACCACCAGCGTGCCGAGGGAACAGGTGCTCACAAGCAGCAAGCACGGCGCCGAAAACGCTCCAGAGATCTGGTGCCCTGATTTCTCCAACAGGGGGGGGCCCCAGACGTCCCGACCCGTCCCCCAGGGCAACCTTTCCACCCTGAGCTCGTTTGTTGACGGTCCCGGAGCCCGAGACCGGCCCCGCAGAGGCCCAAGACTGCGAAAAGCCTCCGCCTTGATGCAGCCGCGAGACGTTGGATGCCCGGGGAAGGCCCAGGAGGCCGAAGTCAGCGACAGAAACTAAAGGGGCCCCAGGACACACACATAAATACACACACAAATAAAACGACTCCCCATCTTTTCCCATATTCTCTGGGTCTTTGTCTCCCCCCCCACCTCCCATATTTTCCCATATCTTCTGGGGAATCGCCGATTAATTGTGTCTGTGTGTTTCTTTCCCTCCTGAGAAACGCCGCCCCGACTTCTCTCACGGCGTCCGAGGCCTGGTAGTTGCGCCCTCCCGCGCCCCTCGCGAGGACACGCTGGATGCCCGGGGGAGGCCCAGGAGGCCGCAGTCAGCGACAGACGCCGTCCCGACTTCTCTCACGCCGTTCGAGGCATGGTAGTTGCGCCCTCCCGCGCCCCTCGCGAGCCCGGGGAAGGCCCAGGAGGCCGAAGTCAGCGACAGAAACGCCGCCCAAGCTTCTCTCACGGCGTTCGAGGCCCGGTAGTTGCGCCCTCCCGCGCCCCTCGCGAGGACACGCGGCCACGAGGCTACGCGAGGCAGCGGGCCGCCGTCGGCGGCCCAACAGCGGGCGGCGACGGCCACAACTGACAGCCAGGCTGCGCGGTGCCCCTCCCCGGACGCCCGTGCCGAAGTGACTCGAGCGGGGCTGGCCCTCGGAAGCGGCTGCGGATGGACCGGAGAGGCAAGGACGCAGAGGGGTGTCCCCACGGGAGGGATGCGCGATGAGGCCGCGAGCCCCTCCCCGGACGCCCGTGCCGCAGGTGCTCGAGCGGGGCTGGCCATCGGCAGCGGCTGCGGATGGATCGGAGAGGCAAGGACGCAGAGGGGTGTCCCCACGGGAGGGGGGCCCGTCCGCACCGTCGACGTCGGCCCTGGGGCGGTGGCGCACCGCAGACCCCATCGGGGCACAATCGCGGCCCTGCGCCCCTGGCGAGGCGGGCCCCGGAGAGAGGGGGGGGCGCCCCCCCCCCCCTCCGCCGGGGGTGAGGCATTTCTCGGCGGCGCCCACGAAGGGCAGCAAGGGATCTGTGAGACCCCCATCCAAGACTGTGTGGGGCTTTCGAATGGACCGGAGATTTGGGGCCCAACTCGGGGATCTACGATGGGAGGGTGTCCATTCTTGATAGGGGTGCGTCCGAATAGCCCCCCCCCCTGGGCTTTTATACCCGAGATCCCCTCCTTTGCTGAGCGGCTTCAGTTTTGGTGGAAGAGTCGGGTGTAGGGGGCGAGAAGACACCTGCGGAGGGGGCTGGCGTGAGGAGGGCGGCCTTCTGAGAAGGCGGCGGGGCTTCCGAGCGGGCATGGTGGCTTCTTGGACGCCCGCTGGGTGTCCAAGAACCACACGTGAGAATCAAAAGCATATGGGCGGTGTGGGGCTGCAGCCCTCGACGCCCTCCCTCTTGCTCTGCTCCGAACCCTTTTTCCACGGATTCGGTACGCGTGGTGCCCTTGCAGGGTCCATCTCCAGAAGGGTCACCCGGACGGGCTTCACTTGCAGGACCTACAAGGGTCGGCGGATGTGGCGTAAGCCCGTAAGATCAAAGAACAGATGGGCGCTGTGGGGCTGGAGATCTTCACGGGCTGCATCCACACACACAATACACACAACACACACAACACACAACACACACAACACACAACACACACACGGAACCAACAACGGTGAACGAAGGTAGCAGCTCGTGCGACCGCATGCCGTAGAAGAGGTCATGGGCTCCGCTTTCACATGCAGATGCCAACGAGAATGGGATCGAGCAACAAACTTGCCCCCAGGCGCGATTGCACACCTGCTCAACATCTTTGCCGTCGACCACCGATGATCCAGGAGGGAGATGTTGGCGAGTTCCTTGTAGGATTTTAAACGTTATTGTTCTTCTGATTTTGAGCCTCCAGACACCTTCGAAGCCCTATGGAGATTCTCAGATCCTCCGGGATGAGGATCATAGGCAACACTCGAATTTGTTATGCGCTCCTGCTCCACCGCTGTGGCTGAAACAAATCCCTGGAGACCTCTTCCAGATTCCCGAAATCCCCGCAGGCCCCCAGGAGGACCCGCAATAACGACAGCTGCGTCAGCATCTTGGATCCCCATCGTCTACTTATTGTCACAAGGATGTGGCGCACGACGCGTTCTAGCTAAAACGGGCCGCAGACTAGTTGACTGCGCACCCTTGCAGCAAGGAAAGAACCTCAGCGGCTACACGCAGGATCGACCCTGGGAAAGAGAGAAACTTTTGGCGCGCGGCTTTCGCTGGACCCGCGGGCCAGTCCTGGGGGAGGTTGTGGCCCCACGCCATAGGTTCATGTGGCGAAAGGGCACTCTTACGCGCATCTCGGGTCTGACGAACGGGGGATAGCATTAGGCTGGGCATATCCCCCTACAGGCGGATTTTAGACGAAAAATTAAAAGTGGTTAAAAATACACCCAAGTTGCCAACAACAATCAAACAAATCGTCCCCAGAGCATTTTTGATTATTCTTTTGAAAAAATCCTCCCGCAGAGGAACGTTCCTGACTTAAGGATAGCAAAGGGGGGCTCAAGAAACCAGCTGCGCGCATCCAATCCCCCGGCGCCTCCCAGCGCTGGGGTGGCGCCAGTGCAGACAGGAGAGCGCCGGGCGGCGGGACCAAGGCAAGCTGCATGCAGCAGAGTCCGCCGCTCCCCCCCCCTCTGCCCCCTTTTCGTCCGACCCGCTCCTCGCCGCCCAGGTGTTCGGGTCATGCCTCGGGTCGCCCGGCAGCCGTTCGGTACGATCCGGGCGCCTCTGCAACGCTCTCGGCCAGGCGCAGCTGCTGGAGCACCGCCGAGGACCGACGAGAACGTCCAGGTTCTGCGACCTCGGCCCTCGAGCCCCGCTCCCCCGGCCCTCCCCCCGGGAGCCGCGCCGCGTAGTCCCCTGGCGGAGGCTTCGACAGCGGCAGGAGGAACCCCCGCCAGGGCTGCGCGTCCGACAGCAGGCGCCCGGCGGCCTCCTCGGGCGGGCCAGGCGACGACGACGACGACGAGGCCTCCACGACGACGATCGGCGACCGGGCGGCGACCGCGATCGGGCGGCCTAGGGAGGAGGAGGAAAAGGAGGTGGAAGAGGAGGGGGAGGAGGAGGGCCATCGCACTGCTGTGAATGTTGTCTTCTCGTCCACGGTGGCTACGCCCGCCACTGAGACGGCAGAGTCTCTGCCGACGGCTGAGAAGGGCCTTGACAGGCCTCGCGCTTCATCTTCGCACACCCCCTCGGGGGTCGTCACTGCCGCTCCCTTGGGCGGCGCTTGCGGCTGCTAGCGCTTCTCTGTGCAAGTGCTCGAGCGGCACCGGCTGCTTAAACACCTGGATCGCCGATCGACCGCACTTCGGGTGTCTGAGCGCCAGCGCACGATCCAACTGGGTTCTAGCGTTATTCGTCCATGGGCTTTGACAGTCCTGAAACAGGCGGCCCCTGGTGCCCGCTTCCGAATAGGACCCGCACGGGCGACGCAAAATCATCGTGCTCGAATTGAGCTCGCATTCGAATAACAGTTGGTGGCCCCTGGGGTTTTGTGCCAGCGAGGCCAGGCCAGCATAATACCCTGGGCACCTTTCGGACGATCGCTTGAAATGCTGGGCCTGGGAATTGGCCCTCGCGCGGCACAAAGTGCTAATGTGGCGCCCGATTATAGATTCTCATTTGTGGAGCACTGACTCGGGACCAGGGTCACGAGGAGGGGGCGGGAGGAGGCCTCGGCGGAGGGGGGGCGGTCCCAGGGTCCCAAGCAGACTCGGCAGAGGCAGCTCCGATGGGGGGGTTCTTTCTGGATGGAATGCTCAGCGATTTCTTTCTCCCTTTGATGGCGAAGGCTGCCCGCAATGTGAGAACGCGAGCAACGTAAATCAGAAACCTGCGCAACAAACGATCCTCTTGCTTCAAGGCTTCATGCTCAACTTCTGATGGTTGGGCCAAGGCTGCGGCCACTCGCATAGCCGCTTTGTCTGCAGCGTCCTTACCCAGCGCATGCTGGCGGGCTTCATCATTGGAAAATTCTCGGCTCAAGTCCTGGTGGGCCTTCGCTTTCACGAGAGAAATCGACGGCGGAACTGCAACTCTTCCGGCCAGGACTTTGAAACCAGAATGCGAGGTCAATCGCTCCCTGGTAGTCCGTGTGGACTGTAGAAACCTGGGGTGTGATGGAGCAGGCAGCGATGGTGGCTAGCCTTTCCGCCGCGCCCGATCCTGGGGTGCATAGGTCTCCTGCTTGGCCTGAACGAATGGCAAAAGGTGTCTGGTTACGCTCGCTAGCAACAGCTCATTCCGACGACGGGTACTCAGGATGAGCCGAATTATCACAACTGCCATCAACATAGACGTCTCCCGAGAAGGCCTTTTCAAGGGATACATCTGGGTCATCGCAGCAAAACTGATAGCTGTCAAAGCCTGTTCCAACTGGAGGGCCAACGTTGAACTCTGGGCGGATCTGCAGGCTAAGCTTGAGCAGCGGATATCGGCGATGTCTTTGCATGAGATCGAGCTCTTCTGATGAAATGGCTCGGTCTCTGGCTCGTTGCTAGGGGAGGCACTGGGGCCAGCAGCCTCGGGTTAAAGAGCGGACTTCATGTTCCTTGCTTGGGGGGAGACGCTGCGAAGGGCTCTGGCGGCGTTGTGAGCGTCAACTTGGGCCCCTGTTTGGCAAACTTTGTCGCCGGCTTTCTCGCGGAGCTGCCGTTGCCGGGCTCGGCGCATCTCATTTTGCACAAAGGCTGGGGAGAAACAAGTAAAGGGGTACTGCAGGCCCTCGCGGGCCTGGAAAACCAGCGGGGAGGCCGAGCCCCAGCCACTCCGATGCAAAGGTAACAGCATGGCACCAATCGGCCCACGCACGCTGCCCCATCTGGCCATCTGGAAGGGGCCTGGCCCGCGAGGGCCTCGCCGCGGGCCTGGGGGGAACTCCAGGGCGCATGGCGCTGGACAGGATTGGCGGCCGCCACCCGCGCAATCATGCGCCAGACAAGAGCTGGCCATAGGACTGCTTTCCATGCGGGCTCGCCTAGGAGGAGGCTCAGGGTTCTGCTGCTGATCGCGCAGTTCGGACCTGCGAGTTTCAGGCGCTGCTGTTGCGTGATCGCGAGCTGCGAGTTGTGGAGGCCAGTCAATTCGTGCCCGAAGGAGGTAGCTGCGTGGATTCCCGCGTTGTAGATTCTGGCTGCGTCTTGTCCTGCCCTCCTGATCGCTCCCAGCCCCCCTATCCTCTTCCTGATATTTTCCATCCTGGCCTTGGCAATCCTCTCCTTCCCCCGCCGACGCTAGGGGGGCTCCTGCTGCGGTCTCGCAGCTGAGGTTGGGCCCCGAGATGTCTATCGCGTGACCTGTGCGCGCCTGCAACTTTTGCCCGGGCCCGCTCGCGCGGCTGGTTGGAAGAGGCGAGCAACTGGGTCTCGGCAGGCGCGATCGCGCTGTCCAGACCGCGCTGGGCGCTGCACGGCAGGCTTGTAGCTTTTTTGTCCAAGCGAGAAGCCGCGCGGCAGTCGCGGCTCTTTAAGAGGATGTATATACGGACATGAAGAACTCTAGATCGGGACCCTGCTGGCCCCAGAAGTCCAAGGGGTCAATCTGGATCAGATGCGCGGCAAAGCCGCGTCCTGCGGCCATCCCGAATAAGGCATGCCCCGCGGGGGCGGCAAGGCATGCCCCACGGGGAAGGAAAGGTATGCCCCACGGGGCGGCATGACTCTTTAAGAGGATATCAGTTACGAACCTGAAGATGTCTAAATTTGGGACTCTGCTGGGCCCAGGAGCCCCGGGGGGCAAATCTGGATCCAATGCGCGGCCACCCCGGATAAGGCGCGCCCCGCGGGGGCGGCAAGGGGGCCCTTGAGGGCAAGGCACCCGGGCCCGGCGCAGCCACCCGAGGTTAGTCTCAGCAGTGCAGCTGGGATGCCACTGCTCAGCGCGCGTCGTGCAAGCTTGTCGCGGCAGATGCGCTCGCAGATTGCGGAGGCTGCAGAGGGCCACCCCCGAAAAACAACTGCTCATTCCGCCTGCCATGCGTAGGTACCCAAGGTTACAATATCCTTGGCAGCGCAGCTGGGATGCCACTGCTCAGCGCACGTCGTGCAAGCTTGTCGCGGCAGATGCGCTCGCAGTGATTGCGGAGGCTGTAGAGGGCCATCCCCGAACAAAAACTGGATGCCATGGCTGGGATGCCATTGCTTAGCGCACGTCGTGCAAGCTTGTCGCGGCAGATGTGCTCGCAGTGACTGCGGAGGCTGCAGAGGGCCATCCCCGAGAACAGCTGCTCGTTCCGCTTGCCGTGCGACTCGCCATCTGGGCTTTGCTTAAAAAAACGAGCTCGGCGATGGAGTGCCCGACCTGGTGCGCAAGACATGGTCTGCGATCGTGCCTCTCCCATTCTCTCGCGGCCGACGGGTTTGCTCTGGCCCAGGCGCGACGCAGCCCTGACATCATTCCAATCGAACGCATTGCTGGCATAATGGCTTCGGGTCTTGCTGCTGGCCTGCACCTGCAAGGACATGTAACCCTGCGTTTCCATGCGGTGCAGCCACTGCGCGACGATGTCCGAGGTGTCCCGGAGTTGTGCGTGTCGCCAGGCTTCCCCTTCGGGAATTCTGCTCTGGCGACCTGACCAACGTCCCTTGACGAATGTGGTCGCTGGCATCCAGGCTTCCAGGCTCCCTGTCCATCCGCGGGCCCAGCCGGCGCCTTCCTGACGAGCCCGGGACTTTGCAGCTTCGGCGGCACACTTTTTCTGCTCGGCATCGATGGCCCTGTCGAGGTCCAGGAGAGTCGAGTTTGAGGCTTGGCCGGCTGTGCCCGCGGATAAGACTCCAGCGTCAACATCTGCCAGAAGTAGCTCCCCAAGCTGGGCGGCAGTGCCTGATGTGACCATTGGGCTGTCCACTGCGCGGAACTCCTGCGGCGAGTCCTGCACGCCGGCCGCTAGATGCTTCAGCTGGTTTCTATCTGACTTGGTAATGGCGAAAGTGATGTCGACGAGCCCGTTTCGCGGGCCTCCAAGACCTCCATCCTACTCGAGCTTTGACACCACGTCGTTGTGCGCGAACCCATTTGACCTCGGGGGGGCTAGCTCTGGGCGCCGTTGGGTGTTTCAGAGAAGTATCCGCGAGGCTGCTGATGGTGGCTTCGGGATCCTTGATGGCCTAGAAATTACAATACTCGAGAAGAGCTTGCTTCTGCTGCTGGCTGAGAGGCGTAGAAGCATCATGCAGCATGGCTTGAGCATGGCGAAGTGCCTGGTCGCTTTGTATCCAAACGAATTGCCGTCTTTGCGACCCCAAGCGGTACTGCTGAAGGCAATGGCTGCGTTTTTTTTCTCATTCAACGCGGGAGCTACATAGTTGCCATCGCAATGAAGTTCTAGGCAGACTGTCCTGTGGGGAGACAAGGGGTACGTGGTCCAGGTGCGGACCTGCTCCGCCCACTCACTCAGGGTTTCGCTGATTAGGAAATTATCCAGGATGGAAGCTGATTTCGGTTTTCTGCACGTCGGGATTCCAGGGGGCGATCAGCTTCAGGGAAGCACGATGCAGGAAACCCAGGGATTCGATCTGGCTGGGGGAGGGGTTGAAGTCCCCCGCAACAACTATGGGTAAACGTAGGTGGCCCTGCTGAACCGCAATGTCTACTAACAGGCCCAGGTTGGTCTCACCTAGTCTATAACAAATACTTAGTCCTGAGGCCTATCTTGGGCAAGCCTGGCGCCTCGAGGAGAACTCCCGTAATGCGGCTGGTTTCCACGTGGCTTTGGACATGCATGGGCCCGACGCCCAAGTCCAAATGGTCTCGCACGACAATAGCTACTCCGTCGATGCGCTCACCATTGTCGTTCAACCTGGCTGGGAGGACGTGTGCCAGCCATCACCTGCGCTGGCACCACTGGACCTTCTGGGCAACGACGTCCCCATCGCATGGCCGATGCACCTGGCCACAGATCAGCGTCACGTCATTGGCCCAATCCGATTCAAT